TCAAGCTGCCATGCCAGGCATCGCGTGGAGGCGAGAGCTCGGAAGTCTGTCTGCTGACTATCCGACCTCAGAGGAGCTTTGTGAATCTTCGACTTCGAGCGTGTAGCTGCCAGATTCGCCGCCCTGTCGATACGGAACGGCGACCGGTGACGAGGAGAAGCCGCTCCTGTTTTGTCCAGGGTGTGAGTGTGTGTGAGTGGTCTTCCTGTGTGTTTTTGGCTGTCGCTAAGATTGCAAGTGCGGCAGAGACTGATGGTCTCAAGAACGCATCGCTTATGATGTTCCTTGCACAAGCTCCCTGTGGCGATGCAGGATGGACTTCGGCAAATTGTTCGTTTGAATGTGTGGATGGTTTGTGGTCTGGGACGAGCAACTCAGGTTCTGGAAGTGCATCTGTAATGTGAGAAGATGCAAGCAAGCATGCCGTGGCAGCCAAGCATGCCCCAGCCAGGACCCCAGGGAAGATGGTGGTGACGCCGGTAACCCGTCCAGCCACGGTCTCGGCATTCGGAGGTTTTCGATACTTGGTGCGGTTCTTGCGCAAGCACCGAGGCACCACGCCCAACAAACTCGGCGGTGAAGGTGGCCAAGCAGGCTCTGCGAGCCGTGTGGTGGTGAAACACTTACTTGTGAATCGTCGTCGTAGCAGCTTTGCAGTCGTCATCATCACCAGCAACATCGTCACCATCACCATCATCATCATCATCGTCACCATCACCATCACCATCACCATAATCATCTTGGTATCATCATCATCACCAGCACCAGCACCACAGGACCAGCACCAGCACCATCACCAGCACCAGCAAAGGCATCAACATCAGCATGATCATCGTCATCAGCATCGTCATCACCATCACAATCATCACCATCATCATTATCATCATCGCCATCTCAATCATCATCATCGTCATCATCGCCATCTGGATCATCATCATCATCATCACCATCGCCATCATCGTCATCACCATTATCATCACCACCATCATCATCAGCACTATCATCATCATCATCATCGCTGCCGCCACCAGCATGGTTGTCATGGTCGTTTAGTCACTAAGTTTCAACTTGTCAGCGTGTCGGTAGACTGTGTTTTGGAATAGTATCCGGCGTGGTGGGGGCGCTGGCGGAGGTAGCGGCAGGGGCGGTGGTAGTGTTGTGTTGGTCGTCGTCCATGTTTTAGGTTAGGTGGTTCTGGTCGTAGTGGTCGGCTGCACAGGCAGCAGGGACGGTCGTCGTGTCGTCGTCCATGTTTTAGTGGTCGTGGTTCTGGTCGTAGTGGTCGGCGGAGAGTGGCAGCAGGGACTTCGTCGTTCAACTTTCTATAGTACGGGGGTGGAGGAGGAGGCGGAGCGAGAGTCGGCGAGGGCAGGCTTTGCTTCCGGTGCCTGTGACTCCGCTTGCAGGGAGGACATCGCATCATCCGGGCAAAGGCAGGGCACCTGCACTGGGGCAGTTGAACTCAGCCTGTTCGGGCTCAAGTGGCTCTGCAACTGCTTGCAACTGCTTGCTTGTTTCTTGTGCCCAGAGAGTTTCATCGTCGGGCCGGTGGGTTTGCTTCACAGGATTTGGAGTACTCCGAGCGGAAGGCGCCCACGGCCCACACGCAGGGGCTGGCAATGCGGGCAGGGCTGTGCCCAAGCATTATTGCGGGGGAGTGACCTGAAGGTGTCGGAGATCTGAACCTGTCAGGAGAACGTGAAGCCGGGCTCATATGTGGTGAAGCGAAGCCCGTCTGATGAGCCGCTTCCCCGGCTTCTGATTTTCTGAGGCTTAGGCCCAGGCCTTTCAGAACCCAACTCGGATTCACGAGCGATGAAGGTTCCTGTCGCGCAGCGGGCCGGCGAGCCCGGTGTCTGGAGGCACGGCCCGAGCTTACAGAGCAGGAGAGCTCCTCCACTTGCTCGGTTGCCCTGCAGAAGCCGATCCAGCAATGTGCACCATAAGTGATACACGTGAGGCGGTCTAAGCTGCAGCCGCAGCAACAAACTCCTCCGCGGTGGCTTCGCAGGTCTGATCGTAAATGACTGAAATTGGCAAATTGAGCTCAGCCCATGGTCATAAGCATGCGTGTATGATACTCGTAGTGTAATACAATCGTGAACGTACCATATTATACATATCATGCTGTGCTGTGCTATACTATGCTATACCGTACTATACTCGTACCATGTTATGCCACACTATACATGCTGTAGCATACTAATGGATGCTATGCCATATTATACCATGGTATACAGCATACTGAACGATACTACACAATACTACGGACGATCAGTTTAGCAAGAAACCGGTGTTCCCTCCTAACCCCCCTTCCCCCGGCCCCTGCCCCGGATTTGTGGCGCCTCTTGCACTCAAAGGGATAGCTATTTTGGGCGAAAGGCTCTTTCTCCGAACTTTCAGGGCTGGGTTGTAGTTGGGCTTTGGGTTTAAGAAATTTGGATGTAGTGAGGGTCGAGCTTCATGTTTGGAGCGATTTCTTATGACGTTCGTTGCCTGCACACCATACTGTATCGTACAATACTATGCCATAATGTACTATGTAAGGTAAGATAAGATAACGTGATATGACACGATACAACCTCATATGCTACAGTTTAGACCGGTGGAACTCCAGAACTTACTAACAATCACTATCTGATAGATACTTGAATATATACATGTTACATGTATATGTACATATATGGGTGTCCGCATCTGCTCCGTATCCAGACTTGCATGTGTGCAGGATATGACAATATTGTCGAAATGCACACGCACTTTTGCGTACACAAAACTCATATGTGAGTGTAGCCAAATAAAGATGAATAGACCCAAAGGTAGCTTCGTATGTGGTAGAGAGATACATGCCCACGTGGACGGATGCAAACCTGACTGCATGCACACATGCACGAGCGAACACACACACACACACATGTCTCTATACCTTTCGCTATGCCTATATCTCTGTCTGTCTTTATCTGTTTATCTATCCATCCATAAACATCCAAGTCCATGTGCAAGCCCCAAAGGTAGTACTATGGTGTAGCGATGCAGCAAGCCAGCAACACGATATGTGTCAGGTGGGCCTCAACACACGAGCTGTGACGGAACCGGGAGACCGGTGTAATTAAACTAGTTCGGCACAAAATTCAACAGGTCCGTTCAAGAGGGGCTGAGGGGCTGTGTCCGTGGGTGGATTTGGGTTTTTATCCAGAGCACATTTTGTAGGGCTTGGGGCTTGCAGCTCCGGGTTCATTGGTTCACCAACACGGAATCTTTGCAAAGTTTTGTAAGAGCCCAGCACAGAAACATGGCACAGAATCTCCTTCTGCAAGTAGTGGGCGTGTCTTCGCTCACGCTAGCCTTACATCCCCGACTCTAGATGCGGGGCGAGCTCTGAATTCCCTGTCGGCTGAGCATATAGTAGAGTCCATAGTATTTTACATATATATATATATGTATAGAATACACTATAATACATTATATCATATTATAGTATATTATATTAGATACTATATCCATACTATACGAAGAGGCCAAGCCCCGGCCAAGCCCCCGGCAGGCGCTCAACAGGCACCGCCCGGCATGCGCGTGTCCTTTGGCTCCACGACGCCGAGGCAAGCTGCCGCAAGTGGCAAACGTCAAAGTCAAAGTGTTGTTTCAATGGAGATTTCAATGTTTCGCATTTCGTGCGCCTTAAACTTTTCAGAATACACCACCCAGACCCGGATCAGAGTTGCAGCCCCCAACCGATGTTTGCTTCCCTTGTGCAGCAGAGGCCTTGCTGCATCTGAGCGGTGGCGTCAATCCGCAAGGTTGAGAGTTGAGAGTGAATCCGTGGAGAGAGAGCTGTGGCAAATATCTGGCCGCATGATAGAAGCTGGGTGATGCCATGCGGCTCGTGGCGGTTTCCATCGCGCTGCTTCGGACCATGCTACAGTGGCGGTCCGAAACTCGTTTGCAGCGGAAGCCCTTTGCTAATGCTTCGACCTGCTTTTCTTACAGATCTTAAACCTGGAGCTCGTTGATGACTAGCTAAGTTGAGTTCGAGCAGCCCGACGTTCAAGATCCAACACCCTCGACACAGAAGCGGACTGTGCATTTAGTTGCTACATGGCCTGCGAACTTACAATGGTTCGGCATCCCAAATTCACAGGACCTGACCACAAGACTGCAAAGGAAGAGTAAGAGGGTGTGGCCAAGTCAATTGAGGAAGCTTGAGGGCTAGGGCCAGGCGGCTAGGCAGCAGAAGGTTGATCGCAGCTGGTGGCTCAGATCGTGGATGCACGGGAGCTTTCAGAGGCAGCCCGAGTCGGGCCATCGGCTTGCCCTGCAAGTAGATGATCTCCAGAAGGAAGAAGGAAACATTAAGGCTGGAATCGGGCTGTCGGGGGGACACAGGAGCACTGGCTCCAGTGCCTGGCGCAGGGGGAAAAACAAGCGATGTCCGCAGAACTTCCATGACTTGGTGTCAGTGAGATATTGACGTTTCTAGAAACTTTCGGCTGACTCTGGCACTGCCACTGGTCTCTAGTTTGGCCCATCTGTCTGCGGCTTGAGTGTCATGCAGTGAACAGACTTGTAGGACAGGGACTGCAAGCATTGCGCAGTGATTGAATGTCGGGCAAAGGTCGGTAAGCTCCGCGTGGCGCAACAGCAAATTGTTTGTTGGTGAGACTTCGCCAGATGCAGTGTGACGGCAGTTAGTGCCATGCAAAGTCCTTTTCACAGCAGCACTGAGACGAGACAGTCATGGCGAGGGAGATGCACAAGTCGCTTTGTCTGTGAGCTCAGTCAGAGTTGGTTTCACACTCGGGCAAGATCAGCCGATGCATTTCACATGGACTTGTGCATTTGGCAATCCTGGACCTGACTCCAACCTGCCAGTTGAGAGTGAACGAGCACTAACCCTTGGCTGTAGCTGCAAGTAGCACCTGCGGAACAGAAACCAAAACACAAGCTCCGAGTTTAGCGCACTTGAGCTACGGCCGCCATCGTGGATGTGCTGAATCCGCCTCATGGGCCCTGCCGCCATGTTCGTTGTCGTTGTACTTGGTATAGGTTTCAGCCCCCTTCACTAAAAGCCGAATCCCCAGCCCAGATCACTATTTCCAGACCTTGAAATTTGCGAGGATTTAAGGGGGTCTAGGGGTTTTCAGACCCCAACTCTCAGAACGTAAACAAGAGGCACGCCCCAAAACCCAAACCCCGGTCTTGAGCCTCTTTTTCTGCAAGTCGTTGGATGCACTTGTAATGTCACGCTCTGCTGCTGCCAGCCAAGTTTCTGAAAAGCGCGCTGTCCGATAGAAGCAACATCATAACTCACCTAATATCGGTCATAATGATACCCGCAATACTGGAAAATGAAAACAATGAGCGCCGCTCAGGATAACCCGTGTCGAAGGGAGCATAGCTTCGTGTAGAGGGGAGTCGGAGTTGACTATAATGCGGTGTAGGGCTGTATATAGGGGCTTGTGGACTGTATGATTAGTCTTTCTTGATGTTTCCAAATCTGATTTTTAATGATACTGTCGGATAGTGCGAAGCTCTTCGAGCCATGTGAATACCCAAGCTGCTATTTTGAGGCTTATAGAATCCTATAGAAGTTCTTGTAATGTGTTTTCTATATGACTCACCATATCGATAAGGAGAAACACCTAAGTGCGCGGGTTGGAGCTGGCGTGCGCCATGGACTGCCTCGCCGCGGCTTGCCAATGCTCCCTGCTTAGCTTCCTGCAGCTAAGATATTTCCTGGAGTGATCCCCCGAAACTCGAAAGCCCTAAATCCTTGGCTCCGACCTCAGCACCAGCGAGGCCGGGCCAAGCGCAGGGCTCACACTCGGGGCTCGAAGTGTCTCGCATGGCTGGACATCATTCAGAAGCCCGACACCCTAAACTCACTTGATCAGGTGTGACGAGGACGAGGAGTGGGGCCCTTGGCAGGCCTGGTGCATTTGCGGAATTTGAACGGTAATGTACAGACCTTGATTAGAATCTGGTTCTGGGGTAAATGCAGTGCGAGGAGACGATGCCCACATGATTAGTGTTACAGATTACGCAGGATTCTATCGTCGACGAGCAGCCAAGAACCACCCACCACTACCCAAGAAACCGACCTAAACCCCAGCTCCAATAGCGTCACCTAGTCCTTAGCTCCGCCTTGAAGCCCTACACACTCTTATAAGGGTTTGGGCCTGGGGTTAAGGGTTTGGGGTTTAGGGTTTGGGAGAAGAGCTTAAGCCACAATTCTTGCGACCTCTCCCGTTCCGAAGGGAGCGCCGGCGTCCCACATAGAGAAGCAACTAGTCTGCAAATAGTCTTTCTGGCATTTTGGTCAGCTTGAGGCGGAAGAGCGATTACCCTTAGTTCTTGGCATTAGGATTCCTATCAGTCAGTGTTGTGTAATTTTTTGGTCCCATGACCGAGAGCTGTTTACGACAAGAGTGACGCTGCGCCATTCTTCTTGTTATGAGTGCGCTTCCTGGCGCCCTCCCATCTGTTGGGCGAGGATTCTTGAATGCATGCTTCCATCCCGAAACGAAAACGCCAAACCCAGCGGCAGTCACCGTAACAACCACAAGCCCCACCTCACCTGAAACCCCAAACTTTGACCCGCATCTAGGATGTAGGCTTATCGCTTCGAACCCCAAACTTTAACTCACCTGCCTTGTCTCCTTGCATCTTTGTTTTTCTTCTCCAATCCTTAGTCACCCAGAAGACCTTCACCCGAAGCCCAGAGTCTTGAACCCTCAAGCCCGAAGCTCTAACCCTTATGCCGTTAAGCAAACACGTGTTTTTCTGCCGCAAAGGGTTTGACAGGTGTCTCCAGTATTTTTTGATTTTAGAATTCGGGGGAGGTTGGGTAGAAAAGGCCCCTGAGCCCGTCAGAAACACAAGTTCAAGAGATTCTAGAAAAACATTCTGCTTCTGGGCTTAGGCATCCCAGAAGCCCCACACAAAAACAAACCCAAGCACGCAACACCAAACCCGAAACCCAAAAGAGCCTTCAACGCCGTAACACCCTGGCATAGTTTCGCAAGTCATGTAAGCCGGAGCCTCCAGCATTGTACGAAAGCAAGATATGATCAGCTCCGCAAGAGACCGTGCCCTGAATACGTAAACCCGCAAATCCCTGAACGTCACTGGATTCCCAAGACATGGAGTTGCGGAGCCCGGGTCCTAATCCCCTGCGACGGAGCCAGAAAGTGGGAACAAGGATGATTCTCATGCCCTTAACATGTAGGCAGTCCCAGCACTGACCATCCTTCGTCCATGTTCCGATTTTCGAGTTAGCTTGTCGGTTGTAATTTGGGGGCTTCAGCACTTGAAGGTTGAATCCCAGGGCGGATAAACACCTTGTACAACACTGCAACCTGTAGAAAACCTCATTAAAGCCGCCAGTCTCGCTTGCTAGGAGGGGTGGAGCGCTATGATATGGGACCCGAATATAGTACCCTCAATAGTAGGATCCCGTTTAAAGGGACCCCCAAACAAGGTACCCCCTAGTTGGAAATTAGTACTTACAAAAACCCGCCAGTCTCCCTTGGACCGACTGGGAGGTTTGACAAGTATGAGGAGGGGCCGATTAGCCCTGCCTCAACGGCAGAGGAGACGGGCAAGGAGGTGCCTGGGTTCTGTGGTGGGTTTGGGGTTTTGGGTTTCCAGAGCCTCCAAAACCTTTTAATTAAGGAATATGCCGTAAATTATAGTAGGATCCCTAGTATGATTGAAGGTGTATTCCTTAATTCAGGGGTTTTGGGTTCAAGGGTTCGCTGAACTTTAAACCTCGTGGATTATGCAGAAGTTTAGGATTCAGGGTGTGCTGTTTAGGCATTGTGGTTTAGGGCTTAGGGTTTGCAGGATTTATTGCTACGTCTCCTTCAGGGATGTAAGCCCGAGGTCCTGACTTAAGAAGGATTTGCTTGAAGAATCAAGGGTCTTAGTGCGCAGGTTTCTGCAGGGGTACGATCACCCACTAAACCCTCAACCTTATAACGCTCAACCGTACACCCTGCCTCTGCGTCTCACAGGATACTTCGTACTTGTAATACTATCTCCTAGTACTTATGTTTAGAGCTGTTAGCTAGATTTTTACGCATATATATCCTAAAGCCAAAACCCAGAACTAGGGTTCCGTGTGTAAGGGAAGGCCCATCCCGGGGTTAGAGGACCACTCAAGAAAGCAGAAGCCATAGAAAAGACACTCGAGTTTGGAAAAAGATGGTTTTCATTTGAACTCTCTGTTCAGCACTTTGTGGGCTGTGTGTTTAAGGTTGCGAGGTAAGCCCTGCTTTAGCCACATAGGTAGGCGGGTTAGTGTATATTTGAAAGGTTCTAGGTCTTAGTGCACAGGTACCTTAAGTGGGTTGAGTTGACGATATTCCCTTCACCCCGAAACCTTATAACTCACCGGGAACCTCCCTACTAAGCCGTGCCAGTCTCTGAGTCTCGGGTCTGAGCCCGGACCAAAGCCCGGAAGCCCCAGAGAGAGGGGACAGTGTAATTCGTCTTCTTGTTCCATGTAAAGCCAGTGTTTAGGGTTTCGGGCAGTTGGGGTTTAGGAGGTCTTTCGAGGTACCTTGCTCGGGTTTCATATGGATCCTCCTTACTAAGTCGCATGAGCCTCTGAGTGGCCCACCCTAGCACAGCCTAGGCTTTTCTCTCGAATTGTGTCCCCATTCTGTGAAGATCCTATCCCTGGATGATCTTCAAACGGGCTGTAGATATCGTGCTTGCATGTTGGTCAGCCTGAGGCAGAAGAAGATTGTGATGACTCTATTCCTGTTATACGCGTGCTTCCTTGGGGCCAGGACTCTTGGATGCACGTTGGCTAGTAAGGAATGGAAGAATGGTAGTAATAGTAGTTAATTGTACCCCATTCTTCCATTCCCTGCTAACCAAAGGTAAGTGAACTGCAAGCCCAAAACCCAGCGCCAGTCAACAGTAATTGCCAAACTCCTCACCCAAACCCTACCCTCAACCCGAAACCCTAAACCTTGAACAACATCAAACTCTCAGCGCTAGAATTTTGAGCCTGAACCTGCTGTGTCTCCTCTTCTGCAATCCTCAGTTGCCCAGCAGTCTTGATCCCGAAACGCTAAGCGGTAAACCTTTAGCCAATGCAGATTCCAGACACCTAACCAGGCAGACGGGGGCTAAGGAGCCCAGTTCTGCAATATCCAACCTTGACCCTTGTTCGGGTGATTGAGTGTTCTCTTTGTTGGCATGTTGAAGAGGTAAGACTTAGGAGTACGTTAAAACAATTTTGAATTTGTGGTTTCTTTAATCCTTAAGAAACAGCTAAAATTCTACTTTTGCTAGGCGTTTCAGTTCAGCATAGAAGATTCAAAGGCTCCCAATCCCCCAAACCCGAACAAACGCCCTGCAACCCGCAGACCCTTTACCGCAAAGAGCAAAGATGAAAGAGATCCTGTTCCTGAGTTCAGGTAGCCGAAAAAGGCCGACACCGCTGGGACCCATGCACAAAACTCCGAACCTCAAGCCCAAAACAGGCTTCAACGCCGTGGCGCCCCGGCATACCTTCGCAGACCTATAGGACAGAGCCCACGGAGTTGTACGAGCCTGAATACTTAGCCAGAAAGGATCAGCTCTCTAGATTACGTTTCAGATACTGCGCTTTGGAACCTTATTTCAACTGCTCCCAAATCTGCACCCCACACCTAAGTCTTGATTCGCCAGACATGGCGTTGTGTCGCCTGGAGACAGAAAGTTGTAGCAACGATCATACCGTTTAGATGAAGCACGGTTTGGAGTCTGGGGTTTCCGGTTGCGGTGAACATGTACAGGGAATCCTGGCACTACTCATCCGTGATCCATGTTCCAACTTTACGGTTTAGCATGTCGGCTGTAATTTGGGGTTATGAGTACCCTACACCAAAGATTCTGCCCCTGCTTATAACCGACTTGTGCTAGGCAACCCTAGCTTAAAGACATGTCCAAAGCCTGAAACCCCAAACTCAGCTACTCCAACGCCTCACGAAACGCCCTATCAAGCCCAATAA